ACGCGTATTACGAATTTCGATATCGATATCGCAAAAAAAAAAAAAAAATGAACGAAAGCGGATGGACAGCGATTAATTAATTTTTCACGCATAGATGCCATTCCAGTATTTCTTGAAAAAAGTTTCGTGGAAGGAATGTAGGTCTAATTGGTTAATTTGGAAAGAAACTATTTTCACGCGTAATCATAGCTCTTCTACTATTATAGTAGACGTGTGGTATCAGGATCGTCAACAAAACTAAAGATAGGCAGTCCTAGCAAGATGGGAGATTCTAGCAAAGAACTCCTCTTGTCCTTATGCCGTCCCGCGATACCTTTTTTCAGCAGTAAAAAGTACGTTGAATAATGCAAAAAAATTGCCACCTCCTTTCGTATTATATTCTCTTCGATATTGGATATCGGGAGAATTCAAAAATTTTTCTCCAAATTCTCGATTTTATTAGGAGAATTACAATTTAAAAGAAGCAATTTTTTTGTACTCATTTTTACTTATTCATCATAAATCTTAGATTATTATTTTTTTCAAACAGTTTCCTTAATTTTAAATATATTTATCGTTCGGATATTTTATTTGCGATAAAAAATTGAAAAAAGTACACGTGCCACGTTATTCGTTCCTATAATTCGTTGAACGATGCATTACGTAATTCTTCATGAAAAAAAAAAGAGGAAAAAAAGAAAAAATAGTAGATCGTAACTAGATAATTAAATACCTCCCAAATGGATTACCGGTTATTTATTTATAGAAAAGCGACAATTCCCTCGAAACCGTTTACCGCTTTAATTCCAACCATTTTTTTTTTAACGTTATCGAAAACACGCGAGATACTTTCCGCTAAAATTAAACGGATAAGATACTCGGTAAAACATATACGCAGAACCGCGCGCATGCGCGAAGGAGAGGTCGAAAGGTGTGACGCGTGCACACACGTTACGCGTACGTGCACGTTGGAACCATCCGTCGGATATCGTCTGTCCGATCTCTGGCATCGATCGGATATATTCTCGGCAACGAGATAAAGGTAAAATCCGATCGACGAAAGAGAAACAGCTCGTCGCGTATCGGTGGCGGTGAACTCATAGCTCGGAAAATATCGGTGTGTTTCTCGACTCGACCACGCACAGCTCGACTTAATCGAAAGAGAGGGAGCGCGTCTCGCGATGCACGTGTGGCTCACGTGTCGCGATGCACACGTGCATCATATCGTGTATAACGCCTACTTCTATCGGAAGTTTCGCGGTAGTTGGTCAGCCTCGATCCGTTCTAGGATTTCATCGTGTGTCCCAAGTATCGCGGAGAGTAGTGCATCGCCTCTTTCTCTTTCCAACTGAAAAGGGATCGTTGAAAACGGACGGCGGCGGACCAGCTTTGTTCTCACGGTGAAAATAAAAGTGTAACGAAAGAGACGGAGGAGAAAGAAGAAGAAGAAGAAGAAGAAGAAAAAGATGGTGGTCGGTGGGGACGAATCTTTGCCAAGATGAATAAAACTAGTTTGGCCCGATGCGAACGATTTTACCGTCGTAAACTTTCGTCGTACGTTCTTTCTTTCCGCTCGACCGCTCGAAAGGTGTATCGAACAATAGGAGGGAAAAGAGGAAGAAACTCGTTCAATCGACTCCTCTTCTCCCTGTTGACGTTCGTATTTGCCATCTTCTCGTATCGTTTAACGTTCTCTCGAAGTCTTTTATCTCTTGAACGGAAAATGCTCCTCGAAAGAAGATTTTTCCTCGGCAAGATAAAATGCGTCTCTCTTTCTCTCTTTCTCTCGAGAGAAAGATGTGTCCGATCTCAACGATTTGACGTCCTCTTGACTAAAAGTAATCACATCGTGCAATCTCTCTCTCTCTCTTTATCGTGGAATCGAGAGGGATTATTCTCTCTCTCGGAGGGAAGAAAAATACTTTCTTCTTCTTCTTTTTCTTTTTCTTCTTCTTCTTCTTCTTCTTCCCGGTCGAGCGAGAAAGTTAAGCGACCGATCGAGCAACAAATTACTCGCTCGAAAACTATATATATACATACATATATACGCGTACAATGGACGTAGTTAGGAGCGAGAAAGCTTCGCTTACTCTCGATACAGGAGGGTGGGAGGAGAGGGAGGAGAGGGAAGGTAAGCCACGACTCGCGGCGATAGGTCGGAGAAAGACTTCCAAGAATTCTGGTTACCGTAGCGAAGAAAGGGCGCGCGCGATTCCTTTCACGGGTTTAACAAGGCTTCTCGGAATCGCGCGTGGGTAGCTTTATTCAAATACTCTGGTGCTTCTCTCCTTCTCTCGGTTCTCTCCTCTCCTCTCCATCTCTTCGTCGTCATAGAAATAATCGATGGACAGGACGATATTTACTTACTTACTCGATCCAGGGAAGAAGGACGGTCTCATTTTTCTCGAGGATTTCACATTAATCTCTTAAAGGGGGGAAGAAGGGTTTCTAGCAGATTATAGATTTGCGAGAAATCGGCATTTTCTCTTGATCGATCAACGTTCTTGACATGTATCGTCTTGCACTCTCTCCCTCAAAGGGAAGAACACACGTAAATTTTTGATTAATGTCGTTCAAAAATTTTTACAAATCCCAAATTATCGTATTGATTATAATGTATACATAAGACCTCTTCAGGGACATTACAAGACGTCAAAGACAATACTTTGAAAGCGGCGATTGTCGAATGAAATAAAATAGGGGAGATAGAAGCGGGTAGGGTGCGTCGGCTAATTGCGT